ACCACAGCCCTGAGCCACGGGCAGGCGAGAGTCAAGGAGAGTCTAGCTCCACACCAGTCATACCCTCTGTGCCCTCTTCGAGTTCCAGCTTGAAGGGCCAGGGCTCCCCAAGTCCGAGCCCCAGGCTGGAGGGGCTCACCAGCTGGGCAGCGTGCTGGGAGAAGCAGGTTCTTTTCTGCTCACGGGCCTGAGATCCTGTCTTCCTGGCAGCCTCCTGGTGTGCGGGGTGTGGGTCTGCACCACGCCGGAGGCACGGCAGCAGGAAGGGCCAGGTTCCCACGCCTCGGCTCCCAGACTGCCCGTGATGCCTTCCGCTCCCCAAGGCCGGCACGGCTGACACCCAAGTGGTATCTTTAATGGCGGGTTCTCTGATTCCCCGTGGGTGCAGCTTTAGCCACCTACTGGCAGGACAGACAGGGGATGGGGCCTGGATCTGACAAATCTGAGGTGGGGGAGCTCCTGGGGGCTCACTGCTGCTCCCCCTTTGCCGGGACAGTGAGAACCCTGTAGGTGGCAAAGTGCTGAGCTTGGGAATGACCTCACACCCCAGCAACCCCAGGGCCCTCCGGCCTCAGCACCAACGAACTGCTGACTGGTCACCCCCCACCCCAAAGGACGTTTGTCCACGTGGACTGTGTCCCTGAGATCTGCGTGATGCCGCGTGGCGGCAGTGGCTTCCCCCTTCCCACAGCTGCCGGAGTCCCTGCAGGAGCTCCGCTGCGGAGGTGCTGGCGTGGAGGCCCTGGCCCAGGAAAGACGGCTTGTATCGCGGAAAAGCAGGGCCCAGTAGGTGGCGGGCAGGTTGCCTGCCGTGTCCTCCCACAGCCATCCCGCATGGGTACCAGCGAGCAGATGCGGCTCCCACGGGGCGTGTGCAGCTGTGCAGCACTGAAGCACCTGAGCCGGGGACCTCGTGGGTATGGACCTCCAAGCCGCTGCCCGCTGGCCAGGCCGGTGCAGATCACACCTGCGGCTCCACCTCCCGAGAACGGGAGATGGGAGCAGCCCACTCTCGGCCGTGTGCAGTGCCAGCAGGAGCCTGCGCAGGGCAGGTGGTGCTCTCAGAGGACCTGGCAGGGCCACCATCCTAGCTGGGGCAGGCTTCAGTGGTGAGGCACAGCCGCTGCCCTGGACCTGAGCCCCTCACGGAGCCAGGGCTGTGGGGGGCGGGCAGTCCCTGGGCCACGCCCACAGGGCACTGGGGCAGGCAGGCCTGGCAGTATCTCTAAGTGCAGGGAGGAAGCCCAGCCCCATGTCGGAGAGCTGGCCGCACGTGCTGGGGGTTGGGGGGGAGGGCGGGGGGGCCGTGCCTCTGGGGCCAGCCATCCT